ATCTAAGCATGTTCCCCTCCCTTCTCCTCCCATCCCTGGTTACCAACAACGAAAATTTCCTTCCATGTATAAACTTTTCCTTGACCTTTTACAATAGTGGACTAATACAATATTTGTCCTTCTGTGATTGACTTTTTTCACTCAGCATAATGTCCTCCAAATTCATCCACATTATGTGGTGTTTTGCAGATTCTACATTATTCTTTAGGGTTGCATAGTATCCCATGGTGTGTATGTACCAGTTTGTGTATCCATTCCTCGCCACCAGTGATTTTTTTACTGTCTCTATAGTTTTGCCTTTTCCAGAATGTCATGTAGCTGGAATCACACAATATGTAGCCTTTTCAACTAACTTTTTTCACTTAACAATATGCACTTAGCCTTCATGTATTTTTATAGCTTGATAAATCTTGTGTGTGTGTGTGTGATATTGGGTTAGTTTACAGAGCAAATTTTTTTCCATTCAACAATCCATACACATTCTGTTTTGTGACATATACTACAACCCCCACGCTATAACAACATTCTTACCACTTCCTCCCTGTGCCCACCCCTTCCCTTCATTCTTCTTTCCCATCTCCTCCCACCTTCCTAGCTCTATCCCTGGGCAAATGCTGCCTTCTTGATCTCATCTGTGTGATTATTTCAATGAGTGCATATGCTCCTGATAGTACTTACCACTGCCTCTCTTATAGAATGTGTCTAAGCCCTGTATTTTTCCTGGACTTGGACAAACATTTGCCATTATGTCCTTGGCACAAGGCTTCAAGGATCCCTGTACATGGTGCTAACAAAACTGGTTCCATTTTTAGGTATATTTATACTCAAAGCAAACCTCTGGTCTGTCTATGGTAGCATCCATGCCTCAAACACCCTGCACAAGCAACTGCTGAACAATATCCTTCGAGCACCCATGAGTTTTTTTGACACAACACCCATAGGCCGGATTGTGAACAGGTTTGCTGGTGTAAGTATCTCAAAGGCTAGAAGCTGGTGTGTGTATGTCCCGAGAATCGTTCTATTTCTGACAGGGAGGAAGGAATTCTAATGTCCCTCTAAACCACACTATGCAGTTCCAGTTCTTTTGTCCACTCAGCAAGTAAACATTTCTTATGTACCTCCTGTGAGGCCTTCAGGGTCCTGGGGATAGAGAGATGAATAGCTCTGGCCCTTTAAGGAGCTCCCAGTCTAATGAGAGAGGCAGCCAAGGAAATAAAAGATTATGATGGAATATGGTAAAAACCAATATCGATGGCATGTACAAGGGTATTCTGGGAGCACAAAGGAGTGACATAGAAAATAAACACTAACTCAGCCTGGTGACTGAGGGCAGGACAATACAAAAAAGATGAGATTTGAGTTAAATCTTAGAAATTAGCTAAGAATATTTCAGGAGTAGGGCATAGGAGAGTGGCTGTGAAAGAAAGATAATAAGGATTATTCTGCTGAGGGAAAAATGTAAGTAAAAGCATTGTCATAGTGGATAAGGCTCTTGACTGCTAACTGGAAGGTCAGTGGTTCAAACCCACCAGCTGCTCCATTGAAGGAAAACAGGGCAATCTACTTCTGTAAAGATTTACAGCCTCAGAAACCCAATGGGGGTCACTATGAGTTGGAAACGACTCAATGGCAGTGAGTTTGGTTTTTTGGTTTTACCTGTGACAGTGAATAAAAGGAAAGCCCTTTGATTAGTCTTTGCCTCTACTCTTAGATCTGGCCCATGGAAGGCAGTCATTACAATTTTAACAAGGTTGTAAAGCATTGTCCCCATCTGCTGTAGATCCTAGAAGCCTTGGCATTCATTCGTTCACTCAACAACATTGATTGAGCACCTTCTATGAGCCAAGTACTGTTCTAGACACTGGGGAACTGTAATATATACATTACAATCTTAGACAGCTGTCTTCCACGTTGACTGACTCTCAAAGTGTCTGAGATGTAAATTTCAGGAACAGAAGAGGAGACCAGGTGATTCTGAGCAATATTCGGCTGTCATTAACACAGTTTTCAGCCCTCTGCTTAGGGGGAGGAGGTCTGTGTGTATACAGATATAATTTAAATGTGTGAGAAGCTCTGGGCCCTAATATTTCTTTGGTCTTGAGTCAGACTCATAAAGGTTAATCCATGCTCCACAGTCCACAGCCCACAGTCAGGTTCTGGGGTCATAGTAACTGCTTCAAAAGTGGGAAGCTGACTAGTCCTGGTTTATCATCTTTCCTTAGGGAAGAAACAGTGGGCATCATTGGAGATGAGTTCAGTGAACTCTCTGCTCTTTAATAGAACCCAGAAGCACACAATTTTTTTTTTGAGATGTTTGTTTGTTTATGTATTCATTCTGAGAGACTCCGGATGCTACGGGGTCGGATTGGCTGTAATCTTAATAGAAGCTGCTCATCAGGTCTGGATCTCCCATGGTACTGCTGGGTGTGTTCAAACAGGCAAGCTTTGGGTTACTAGCCAAGTGCAGACCCTCCGTGCCACCCAGGGACCTTAAAAACACACAGTTTTAGATGAAGATATTTCTCATAGGAATTTTACAAAAATTGCATGCACTTTTCCCATGTTGTAATATATATCATTGATCTTCTAGAAAAGAGAATGTTGTTGTTGTTGTTATATGCTGTCGAGTTGGACCCAACTCATAGTGACCCCTCCTTGGGTTTCCAAGGCAGTATCACTACAGAAGTAGATTGCCTCATCTTCTTTCCGAGGAGTGGCTGGTGGTTTGAACCGCCAGCCTTCTGGTTAGCAGTCAAGTGTCCTAGGTGTTATTGTGAATTACTTAGGACAATAGGCAACAATCATACTTTGCTAACTGCTTTTGTACCCCATGAAAAAGGAAACTCTCATCAATAAATAGCGATTTTTGTGGAGAGGTGGCTCAAGCCTATAAAATGGAGTTTGATCTAGGGTCCTCTAGACTGATGGTTGAACCCTGTATCAGTTAGGATTCTCCAGGGGAAAAAAAAAATCCTTTCTCTTCTTATAAAAGCCCAGGCTTCTCCCTAAGAATCTTCTCTTAGGAAGAGAGAGAGACAGAGAGAGATTTTGAGATTTTAAGGAACTGGATTGTGGAGCAGATTGGCAATCTAGAAACTAAGGCAGGAGTTGATGTAGTCAAGGCAGAATTTCTTTCCCAGGAAATCTGTTTTTGCTCATAAGGCCTTCAACTGATAGAATGAGGCCCACTTACATTATCTAAGATAAGTTCCTTTATTCAAAGTCACTGATTGTAGATGTTAACTACCTTTACAGCAGCACCTAGATTAGTGTTTAATTAAATAACTAGGACCTTCTGGGTGGTGCTGATGGTTAACATACTCAGCTATTATACTGAAGGCTGTAAGTTCTAGTCCACTCAGAGGCATCTCAGAAGAAAGACCTGGCAATCTACTGCCAAAAAATCAGAAATTGAAAACCCTTTAGAGCATAGTTCTTGTCTGACACACATGGGGTCACTCAACTTGTATGTAGTTTGGTAGGTAATTAAAAAAAAAAAAATCAAACTCACTGCCATCAAGTCAATTCTGACTCAAAGTAACCCCTTTGGATTTCTGAGATGGTAAATCTTTAGGGAAGTAGATTGCCCAGTCTTCCTTCTGCGGAGTGGCTGATAGGTTTGAACCTCCAACCTTCTGGTTAGCAGTCAAATATCTTAGGCACTACGCCACCAGAGCTTCCAAATTGACATATAAGCCTAACCATCAAGGCCCTTAAGAGGAGGTTGAGGAAAGGGTGAAGGAAAGAAAGATGGAGAATCTGTGCCATATTAGGATTGAAAGCAATCTGGGTAAGACTGATAACTTCTGCCAACCTTCAACACAGAGTTATTTATTTGCATTTTGATGTGACTCTGGGAAGATGGATTAAACTTATCCCCGAATCATCCATGATTCATGTTCTTTCAGGAGGCTGTTGTCCCTGACCCAGTCAGGAGCCCTCCAGAGATCATTTGGACTCACCTTGGTACCCATATATTATTGGTCCTAGAATCAACATAATCCTTTCAGAAATCTAGGCAAGAACCATACAAAACATAAACCAGGCTTCTTGAGCATGTTCCCAATCAACCATGGACCCATTCATCCATTTGCTCATTTACTCATTTATTCAATGTGGCAAGAAGGTGATATGGCAATGAGACCCATCTGTCACCTCTGGGTTCATTGGTTAGAACAATGTCCAGGCAGGGATCACATTTAAACCTTACATCCCTTTCTCCTTGAAGCTCCTATGTCTGGCAAAGGGAACAACTTTCTAGGTATAGGATGGTTCTTCACTCAAGGATGGGTGACAGGGCTTGTTTACTAGAGCCTCCAAACAAATATTTTCTGAATGCCTGTTATGTGCCAGGCTGTATGCTAGATACCCAGTGAAGTTAGGATAACTGAACTGGCTTCATTATGGGAGAAGATTTACCTGTAAGGGTCTATTAGCTTAAAAACCAAACCAAACTCACTGATGTGAAGTTGGATCCAACTCATAGCGACACCTCCTTGGGTTTCCGAGGTGGTATTACTAAGGAAGTAGATTGCCCAACCTTCCTTCTGAGGAGTGGCTGGTGGGTTTGAACTGCAAGCCTTCTGGTTCGCAGTCAAATGTCTTAGGCACTATGCCACCAGACTCTTTTATTAGATTACAGTGGTTATTAACAATTTAATAAATTTGACAAAGAGGAATTTCACTGAGAAGAGTGAAAACTTTTGCCAAGTCAATTGAAAAAGGTGAAGGATGATTGCCATATCTGTTTGGAAGGATTTAGAATGGTGACAAAATTATAGAAAATTATAAAAATGAAATTGATTATTGGTGAGCAGTACAGTATAGTGCAAATGAATAGCATGAAACGATTGAATGAGGGAGTCACTGGGAACAGAGAGGACCTTCTGGAATCGGGAAGACATAAAACGTCTTTGGAATTCATTGGTACACCATCTCCCCTGTGTCTTCCTAGGATATTTCCACAGTAGATGAAACCATCCCTTCCACCTTGCGCAGCTGGATTCTGTGCTTTCTAGGGATAATCAGCACCCTTGTCATGATCTGCGTAGCCACCCCAGTCTTCATCGTCATCATCATTCCTCTCTCCATCATCTATGTGTCTGTTCAGGTAGGTTTGAAAATGACTAAGTCTTCCTTCCACTCTCCTTATAAAAGCCCAGGCTTCTTCCTAAAAATCTGCTCTTTTGCCTATCACTCACTCCTCTCCAGAACCTTGGCTACTTAATCACTCTTACATACCAAGGAGTCCACTGACCACTGGCTGAAGCTGGAACGTCAGTGTTGATTCATGTACAGTTCATAGAAAATATCACCTTCCCTGCTGCCCCCAGCAGCTGGAGATACTACAGGTGGAACTGATTTATGTTTGGATCTGAGACTACTTTGAAGGTGGCCCTGGACAAAGTTTTAAAACTCCATGAGAATCTCCAAAATGGTTAGGTGTTGGTTGCTGCTAGAAGACTTGTCACATGACTGCTTCCTCAATTGGCCTTGAAACAGGCATTTCTGCTTGGAGTTGTCTCTTAGCAGAAGCTAGATGTCTTTTAACTTCAGGGGAGTTCTAGTCTCACTGGGATGTCTGTGGATGCATTAGGCAAATTCCAGTATGTTCTTGAGGGCACAGGTAGTTCGAGAGCCAAGTCTCACAGAAAAGCGAGAGCAAGTAGAAGGGACTCCATGTCCGTACTAAAAACTGACAAGGAGGTTAGGGAAGTTTCAGGGGACTCTTGTCCCACTAGTTGCCTTTGTGATGCCATATTCGCCAGAGAAAAACAAGCCCAAAGACCTTGCAGGCACGGGGCAGCCCATGGCCTGTGGGAAGATGGCACCTCATGGTATGTGTGTTGAGTTCTTCAGGTACACTGATGGTAACAGCCTTTTGACTATTATTAACAAACCAACAAGGAAGGAGATATTTGAAGAAACTTCCAAGTATAACATTTTGTATTCTGACTCTCAAATGCCCAGCCCTTCCCTGGTTTCAACAAATTCCACAAAATCTACTAGTGCTGTTAACCCAACTGTGTTGTTGTTGTTGTTGTGTGCCGTCGAGTTGACCCCGACTCATAGTGACCCTCCCTTTTGTTTCCAAGGCAGTATCACTATGGAAGTAGATTGCCCCATCTTCCTTCTGAGGAGTAGCTAGTGGGTTTGAACCACCAGCCTTCTGGTTAGCAGTCAAGTGCCTTAGGCACTACACCACCAGAGCTCCTAACCCAACTGTAGTTCACCCTTATGCCTCATATCTCAGAGATTCTGCCTGCTCAGTCTCTTACATCCAGTTCTAGTTCTTAGACTAAACATTCCACCCTAGCCCCCTCAAGACTATCCTTTCCTTCACACATCTCTGAGGCAGTTTTTGTCACTTAACCGAGTCTTCTTCAATTTTCACCCAAACCTCAGGGTACCTTTCTCTGGTCATCCCCCTCACACACACACCCTATCACCACTTTCCACACTTCTCTGGTTCCAGATGCTTCTCCAGAACCCTTGTGGAGTCTACTTCTCTAACCAGTACAGAAGCTCTCATTTGAGGAGTATATGTAGATCCTCAGGGAGAATGTGGCCAAGCTCCTCACTGGTTTGGAAATGTATCAAAAAACCAAACTCACTGCCATTGAGTCCATCCTGACTCATAGCGACCCCTCCTTGGGTTTCCAAGGCAATATCTCTATGGAAATAGATTGCCCAGACATCCTTCCGAGGAGTGGCTGGTGGGTTGGAACCGCCAGCCTTCTGCTTAGCAGTCAAATGCCTTAGGCACTATGCTACCAGAGTGCCTTGGAAATATATAGTCTCCCCAGTTCCCCAAGTATAGTCTCCTCAAATGTTCCCCATCATCCCTAGGTATCCCCATTATTCTCCTCCTCTCAGCCTCTCTCCCCATTCCTCTGGCCATGGATGAGATTGGAGGCTTCTGTCCCATTTAGATGTCAGCTGTGGCCATCAAGGTGAAGAACATTAGGTCATGGCCAGGAAGAGGTAGAGCTGTGATCAGCAGCCTTTTACAACATGCAACATAATTATGTGACTAATTGACTCTTTACCTTTTGTGACCAGACATTTTATGTGGCTACTTCCCGCCAGCTGAGACGTCTGGACTCTGTCACCAGGTCCCCAATCTACTCTCACTTCAGTGAGACTGTATCAGGTTTGCCTGTTATTCGTGCCTTAGGGCACCAGCAGCGATTTCTAAAACTCAGTGAGGTGAGGATTGACACCAACCAGAAATGTGTCTTTTCTTGGATTATCTCCAACAGGTAAGGCTACTGCTGGATTGTTACCCAAATGTGTGCTTTGTGGTTCTGTACTTTTGACCTTAGCCACAGCAAGGCTGGTCTGGCCAGAGGATGTGAAGTTCACTCTGGCCACACACTGCTGTCATGTTATTTAAGTAGAGAGGAGAAGCATGACTTGGAGTTAGAGAGCTGTGTTCCTAGGCTCTCTCTGCCAGCTACGAGCTGTGCAAAGTGACTTGATGTTACTGAGGAATATCTCATTTTCTTTGCATTGACAATGGGTAAAATGCAACCTATTTCACAGAGTTACTGTAGCAGTAAAATGAGATTTTTGAGCATTTTGTAACTCAGGTACCATGCTAGCACAGGTGACTTGGATGTTCTCTATTTTCTTCCCTGAGAATAGATGTGAGATTGCCCATAGAAATACTATTCTTTTTAGGATGGTAAAAAAAGCAGAGGTTAGAGGGAGAAGAGTTGGGAATTTTTTAGGTAAAAGCAAACAAAGCTGTGATGAGAGAAATGGAAAGCTCACATCCTGGGAGGTGAACCCGTGAACAGGGTGAGCATGATTCCTTCAGCATCACCAGATCCTGGCAAGCAGCAGCACATCCTTGAAGGAGGGTGAAAATTCTTGAGTGGTTCCCAAAGTGTCTTGACATGTTAAGGGCAGGCTGACAATGCTCAATATTATTTGGAACTTGGAGAGGTCAGGAGTTTGATTGTAAAGATACTTTATTTCTTGGAGATTTTCCAAGAAGAAAACAGGCATCTAAGTTGATCCCCTTAGAACTAATAGGAAATATTTCTCCTATTTATATGTTCACAGGTTAGAACTATTGGTGCAAACATTAAATACATTTTATTTGGGAAAGTAATTCGTATAATCGAATTCCATCTATATATACTCTTGAGTTCTCTGCAGAGTCTAAATGTATCTCTTAGTGTTTAGTGCACACCTAACTACCCTCCTCCTCCAGCTTATTTTCACTTTTTTCCCCCCTTTAATAATGAAATCAGACAGGGTACATTAAATGTTTCTATGGTACTTATTTTTTAACCTTATATATAGATCCAGTATGACATTGTTTACCAAACCTGCCTGATCAAAATAATCACTTAGAACATTTGTTAAAAATGCAGCTTCATCCTCAAATTCATATGAAATTGCAAGGGGCTACAAGTAAACAAAACAATCTTGAAAAATAAGAGCAAGTAGGAGGTTCATACATCCTGATTTTAAAACATAAGATAAAGCCATAATAATCAAAAGAGTGTGGTACAAGTATAAGGATGGACATGTAGGCCAATGGAATAGAATTGATATCCCAGAAAGAAACTCACACATCTATGACTTTAGAACAACGGTGCCAAGTCCATTCAATGGGAAAAGAAAATGGTGCTGGAATAACTGATTGCATGTGCAAAAAAAGGACATTGTACCCATCCCTCATACCATTTACAGAAATTAACTCAAGATGGATCAGTGACCTAAAACCACCAAACTCTTAGATGAAAACAAAAGGGTAAAGCTTCAAGACCCTGTGTTTGACAATGGAGACTTAGAAATGACACCAAATGCATCAAAGGGAAACAGATGAACTGGGCTTCATCAAAATTAAAAATGTTTGTGCATCAAAGCACCTTATCAAGAAAGCAATAAGACAACCTGCAGAGTGGTAGAAAATATTTGGGAACCATATATCTGATAAGGGTTTACTATCCAAGATAAATAACGAACTCTTACAAGTCAACAATAAAAAGACAACACAGTCCAAAAATGGGCAAAAAATTTGAATAGATGGGTCTCTGAAGAAGATATACAAAAAGCAAAAGATAACAAATAGCAGAAGAGCCCATGAAAAGATGCACATCATTACTCATTAGAGAAAATGCACATTAAAACCACAATGAGCTGCCACCTCCCCTACTAGAATGGCTATTACCAGGAAAAAGTAGAAAATATCAAGTGTTGTCAGGGATTTGGAGAAATTGTAACCCTTGTCCATTGCAATAGGAGCCTTGGTATGTAGTGATCAAGTGTTCTGCTGCTAACCGAAAGGTTGGTGGTTCAACCCCCACCAGTCACTCATGGGAAAAAGATGTGAAAGTCTGCCTCTGTCAAGAGTACACCCTTAGAAACCCTATAACGAACACACTGCTGTGGAGTCGGATCCCACTCATAGAGACCCCTCCTTGGGTTTCCAAGGCAGTATCACTACAGATAGTAGATTGCCCAACCTTCCTTCTGAGGAGTGGCTGGTGGGTTTGAACCTCCAGCCTTCTGGTTAGCAGTCAAGTGCCTTAGGCACCACGCCACCAGAGCTCCCTAGAAATGCTATGGGCCAGTTCTACTCTGTCCTATTGGGTTACTAGGAGTCAGAATCGACTTGATGGCAGCGGATCTGCTTTCATTTCGGTGTGTCCATTGCTGGTGGGAATGTGAAATAGTGCAGCCACTGTGGAAAGCAGTTTAGAGGTTCCTCAAAAAGTTTCAACATCATTTTCAAAAATGCAGATTCCTACACTCCATCCTAGACCCACTGACTCAGAAACTCTTGAGGAAGGGTTCAGGATTTTTTTGTATTATTTTTATAAATTTTTATTTTGGAATAGTTTTCGATTTTACACAAAAGTTGCAAATGGGGGCGGGGCAAGATGGCGGACTAGGCAGAAGGATTGCACAGACCCTCTTCAACAAAGAAAAGGGAAACCAATTAACACAGACACAGAAGATAATCTT